CTGATCATGGGAAAATGACCCAAGGGAGGCATTGCAATCCTTTCTAAGGCAGTCTCTGAAGTTCTACATTGTTGCCTCTTATGGGCATACCAGAAATATATTTTTTGTTGTTGTTTAAAGGAATGGAAAGACCCAGCATTTAGAAAGAGTTGTTACTTGCCCTGTTTGTTCCAATAAACAATGAAACTGCTCGTTGCTCAATAAGAATAAAAACTGACAGTTTGTAAAAAAACAAAAAAACCCAGAAAACATAAAATCTTGGACTGTGTTTAGGGTGCTGATATTTCCAGACTTACTATGATCCTAAGGGAGAAGTTTGTTTAGGTTTCCACAGTATCAGTGAAAAAATACTTCTCTGGAAAACCTGCTACACACTGGCCAAAAGTTTTTCCAATTCCAACTCCAATTTGTATCTATTGAAAGCTTTTGGACTTATGGAACAGCAGTGGATGAGATGGAAGCCGACATCATGGTAAGTTCAGAGACTCATGCTGCATAATTCTGTAGTTAGTGACGAGATTAGGTAAATCTGCAAGAATGTGCCATGTTATCATGATTTCAATTCTCTTAACACTGGGTTTGGGACATATTTTAAAGATTCACTTGGGTTAAAGAGGCTTTAGCTATGTGTGTGCAGGCCAAATAAAGAAGGGGATTGAGCTCAGCAACTGTCTAAACAACACCAGCAAGGAGAACTTATTCTCGGAAGAGAACTCTCCGTAAAAGATGCTAGGAGATACAAAAGCACATAGGGGAGATATGAATAAGATACGAGGATAATCCTGAGGCCTTGTGGGAGATAGAATTACAGAATGGGCCTCCGACCCCTGCACCTGCGGGGATGATGAAATAATCACACGGGGAAGCCCTCAGTGGGTGCGACAGTAATATTACCAGGTTGGCCAAAAAGTTCATTTGGATTTATCTGTAAGCTGGCGTGGAAACACCTGAGCAGACTTTTTGGCCAGCCCGGTGTTAACCTTCCTTCTCTTGGCCTCCCAGCCAACTCCATTCACCTCTTTCAATCAGACACAATATATGGCACACCAGGTGCAGGCCCAGAGTCTGATTTCAAATTCCAATTAATTTATGTTACAATAAACTAACCTACTAAGTTGAACATCTGATTTTTCTGGCCATTGTGACTAACTGTAATTGTATACAGCATCATTTGTGTTGAAAAAATACTGTTCTTCAAATTGTGCCGGAGTTCTCGCTATTGTGACCTGAACAAGTAGGTACGGTTTTATATAATGGACAGAGATATTTGTTGTTTTGTTATAGAGAAACCCAACACACATTGAACTTTCACAAATAAATAGTTGGATTTATTTGAACATGATAATGTTACCATACATAATTCCTTTGGATAATCCTCTTCTTACCTGCGATGCCATCAACGAGATATCGGGTTCTTGGTGTTCTGTGTGTTTGCTTTTCCCATGACCCAAGGTGGAGATACTCCTAATGAGGAAATTCTGTCTAAATAAAGGTGGCAATGAGGTTAAAGATAGCTGGCACTCTTCATGATGACCTCATGGGTATGCTCGCTTGGGTTACTTTGCTCTTTCATGACAACTGTTCATTCGCTCATTTACTCATTCAAAACCACACACGGACAGCGTTAGAAAACAATGACTGATAAGACAGATGGTCCCCATAGAGGGGACTAAAAACACATAAGAGCTAGTGTTTGACCGTGTGTATAACAGAGAGCTCGTAGGGAGCAGTTGTATAGCGCGGGGAGCTCAGCTTGGGGCTCTGTGATGACCTAGAGGGACGAGGGATGGGGTTTGGGGTGGGGTGTGTAGTGGGAGGGAGGCCCCGGAGGGAGGGGATATATGTAGACTCGTAGCGTATTCCCTTTGTTGTTCAGCAAAAAGTAGCACAACATTATAAAGGAACTGTAGTCAAATTAAAAAACAAAAACAAGCTAGTGCTTGTTGCAAGCTTACAAGTCCGGATGTGGTGTTGTCTCTTTTAATCCTCACAGCCTGATGAAGTATACAGCCCCATCTTACAAAGGAGGACACTGAGATTCTGAGGTTACCTGGCTGGTTCAAGGTCACACGGCTATGAGGAAACAGGGCAGGGATTCAGATCTGATTTCAGCACCATGTCCTTACTCCTGTTCTTCCCATCTCTCTCTAATCACTCCTCACCACCGATCTCCTGTTCTTGTTGGGTGGGTCCCTCTACGATCCACACGCAAAGATTCTCTGCCTTTGTGCTTGACAGACCCCCAGACCCCAAATGCAGCCCGACCTTGCGTGTCTAACCCCAGCCCTTCTCATTGCAGTCCCCGTAGCCCATCTTACTCCATCAGCCACTGACACTGGCCCATGCCCCCCTAGTCTCCTTCATCTAGTTGTCCATCTAAAGTTCCAAACGTGATCATCAGTTCCAAATTAAATCATAAATTTCCCCCCAAAGACCTGCATTTTCTTTTCTCTCATCCTGGCCATGGAACTTAGGCAGGGTTAGGTAATAAATTTCAACTGTGTTTTCCATTGCTAAATTGGTGCTGTGGTCCCAAAAACATGAATAGATTCATAGAAAGAAAAGGTGGGTGGCCCATTTAAGAATCAGTAAACAGAATGTGCTTGCTTGGCTGATTCCCTTCCCCTTCCATTAGTCACTGTCACTGCCAGAATGCTGCCTCCATCCGCTCACTGCAGCCCTTGCGTGACCGGTTCTTCAGCAAGCACGCATCTTGGCTTCCATAACAGAGGCTGACCGGGCTTGTATGTCTACCTTAGGCCCTTGGGACCAGGCCAAAGCCGGAGGCCGCTGAAGCACCCACTTAGGCTGCTGCGGAAGGACAGACGCTCACGAGCCTCCCACCCTGAAAACTCACAGACCTCCGTGTCATCCTTCTTACCTAACACTTGCCATCTTGAGAGGCTGTTTGTCATAGCCGTGTGTTTCTGCACCACCTCCCTCAGCAGCTTGGAGCGAGCACTCTCTGAATAACTGGGGACTCGCTCTGGATTCACCGAGATCAGGGCCAGGATGTCTGGGGTGGAAGCTGCCCGGCTTCCCAAGGTACTGCTCCCCACGGGCTTCTCAGCACGGCCCAGGGCATCCGGGGAGTCTTCTCAGTCTGGGGTGTTCCGGCTGAACCCTTGGTCTCCACGGCCCCGCCTACCCCTCTGTGTCCCTTCTGGAGCATCAGATGCTGGGTGCTGCTGGTCCTGACATCACAGTATTGCCTCCCCAGCTCACCAGAGGAGAAAAGTCTTGAGACAGAGAAAACTTCTACGAGATTTCACTCATTCGCAGCCCATCTCTTTATTACTCGCTGTGTCCTAACTTCAGCTTGGAGAGCTGACACTTCTTTGCCTCCTGGGGAAGGGGGTGGGGGTGCGTTACAGGGCGAGCTGCTCCTCTGGGGGGAGCTGGGGTGGTGGCCTGTGGCTTAGGGCAGTTTCCAGAGTGTCCTCCTTAGGTGGCCTCCGGGAGCTGTTTTCCACTGGAGACCAAACGGGAGCTAAAGGCAGAGGCGGACTGTCTGGGGCTGGCGTCCAATCTGTACCCCCGTGTCTCCCGCAATCCTTCCCCCCTCACACGCGTGCTAAGTTGCTCCATGACCAACTCTTTGCGACCCCGTGGGCTGCTGTAGCCCGCCAGGCCCCTCTGTCCATGGGACTCTCCAGGCAAGAACACTGGAGTGGGGTGCCATGCCCTCCTCCAGGAGATCTTCCCCACCCAGGGATTGAACCCTCATATCTTATGTCTCCTGCGTTGGCAGGCAGGTTCTTTTCCACTAGCTCCTCCTGGGAAGCCCCAAGCCTCACACAAGTAAATGATAAACAATATCTCCACATCCCTGCAAAGCCCTTCACAGTGCCTTTTCTTTCCTTCTCTGCCTTTCTACACTATCTATCAGATAATCTAGCATTTCTGTCCACTCGCAGGGGGAGGATTTCATGTGGTCACAGAGAGGGGCTAGAATTCTCTTTTCATGATTTACTTTCTTTTACATGACACTTCCCTATTTCCTCACTCTGGTTTTCATAATTTGGCTTCTTGAACAGCTTTAAACCACTTCCTACCCACATATTTCTTCATTTGGAAAATACTAATGAAGCCTATTTAACCCTTTGCCTTATTATCAGTTCTTTTTGCTCATCTCGGGTTCGATCCAGAGGCTTTTCCTTGGATTTCTACAGCTGGTGGTCATTCTTTTCTGAGCGGAACAGAGTTTGTTATAAGTCTCTTAGGCCCCTTTCCTTCCTGCTCTCTTTAAAGCTGATGCTTCTAAGGAGTCCTTGGAAATCATATTTAACAGCCCGGCCTCCTACTCAAGTGGTCAGACAGGACACTAGGCCACACTCTTAGTCATCATGAGGATAAAAACCCGTTGAAGAATTAATGGAGGCTACCACCAACTCTGGGTGCTTTGCCAAAAAAGATACTGTCTTGCAGGTAATGGCAAGTATCCAGGGGCCCCTTGAGGAGGGACAGTCTGAACTATGAAATTAGAAGAAAAATTAGACTTAGTATAAATGAGGTGTCAGTTTCCTCAAGAATGCCCCCAGGTGAGTCAATCCGTGTACTCACCATTCTTGGTAAATGAGAACTGTTTGCAGGAAGAGGTTGGTGACACATAGGTCACTTAAGGCTGAATAAATCTGATTTTTAAAAAAAAAGCTTCCAGGATGTTCCCTGGTGGTCCAGAGGCTAAGACTCAACTTTTGATTGCAGGGGGCCTGAGTTAAATCCCTGGTGGGGGAGCTGGTCCCCATATGCTGCAACTAAGACTTGGTGCTGTCAATAAAGACACTTGACATAAATAAATAAGATAAAAATGCTTCCAGCACAAAAGTGTGTGCTAATATTCTATACTCTATGTATAAAATGTGTGACATTTACTTGAAAACTGACACATGCAAGGCTATATCAAGAGGCAATGTAGTCCAAGAATTGCACTCACTGAGCTTTCTGTAGGATGCCTTCTTGGTCACTGTTTCGTTGAGACTGAGCAGGAAGCTCTACGCATGAGTTGCGTGGACATGGGGGTCTGCAGCTTTCTGCCCCATCATGCAGACGCCCTTCGCTGTCACCCTCTGTGGGACGTATCGGTGAGGCCCAGGACTGCTCACCACGGGGCAAGAGGCCAAAGGCGAGAGCCACCGGGCCTCTCTCTGCGCGTGCTGAGTCCCTTCAGTCGTGTCCAGCTCTTTGCAACCGTGAGGACCTTAGCCCACAGGGCTCCTCTGTCCAAGGATTCTCCAGGCAAGAACACTGGAGAGGGTTGCCAAGCTCTCCCTGCCAGGGATCTTCCCAACTCAGGGATCGAAACTTCCTAATCCCATCTTAATCCATTTTTTTCCTCCAAACAATCCATCAGATACAGTTGGGTAGAAGGGCAAAAAAGAGTTGAAACCGTTTCCTTCTTGTGGTTAAAAGCTTCAGCTCTCTTCCTCCCACTGAACCTAGTGCACTTTTAGCCACTCACCTTTGACTGTGCTGTACGGGAACGTGAGCGCAGAAAGGCTCTCTTGCTAGCCCTTTGCCATCATTGTGTCTGTGACATCCCTGACACCCATAAATCTAAGTCTTCCCAACCTTTTTTCTTGTATGTCAGTTCATTTTTTAAAAATAAAATAATTGGGAGAGCTGTAGAGAATTAAAGTTTCCAACCTTATTGTGTTCCAATTTCTTCTCCTGTTTGAAGTCCAAATGCACTTATAAGTGGTCATTTATTCCCTATTAAACTTTGTCTAATAAAAGGAAATTCACCATCACACAAGCAGAGCATGCCATTTAAAAAATACCTCTGACTGTCAGAAAAATCTTCCTTGATGTGAATCTTGTTACTTATACCCCTTGGCCCAAGTGTTAGAACTTACTATCTTTTCCACATAAGGGTTCTTGGAATAAAGACAGTTATCTTGCCTCCAAAGTGTTGTTTGGAAAAAAATTAACAAACCTGTTTACTTAGGTTGCCTGTGCACATTTTCTCCGCCTACGTGCAGATTTCCATCCCCGTCACCATCCTGGCCATCGCCTTCCAAACAATTCAGTTTGTCCGGGTGTCTCTGAAGGTGTCATGCAAAGAGGTAAATATGCTAATTTCCTGGTTGCCTCCATTTCACAGATGAGAAAACTGAGGCCACTCACTAGAGGACTCAGTTCCAGTTCAGTCACTCAGTCGTGTCCGACTCTTTGCGACCCCATGGACTGCAGCACGCCAGGCCTCCCTGTCCATCACCAACTCCCAGAGTTTACTCAAACTCATGTCCATTGAGTCGGTGATGCCACCCAACCATCTCATCCTCTGTCATCCCCTTCTCCTCTTGCCTTCAATCTTTCCCAGCATCAGGGTCTTTTCAAAGGAATCAGCTCTTTACATCAGGTGGCCAAAGTATTGGAGCTTCAGCTTCAGCATCAATCTTTCCAATGAATATTCAGGGTTGATATTCCTCACTAGAGGACTCAGCCAGGGTCACAAACAAGACTCTGAACTTGAATCTCTACTCTCTATAATACAGAAAAGATGCCCCCACGATTTAATCCTGATCTATATTTCCTGATTCGACGTGCACGTCTGCCCAGAGACCCCATGTAACACGGAAGTAGGGACAGCCTGGAATCCTGCTGGTTTCCAGGTCCAGGGAAACGGTAGCGAAGGGGCTGAGCCTAAAGACCTCCTGGAGATGTCAGCTGGTTAGCCATCCCGAGGCAAGAGTCTTCGGGTCCCCTGCTTGGGCCCTGAACGCCCCTCCTCCCTCTGCTCCACCCTCTCACTCCGCTAACCACCTCCCAGCCCCATTTTTGTGGGAACCGGTGCCTGCTGTGTTTGTCAGTCATTCTGTTTGTGAGGCAGCTTGTCTGTGACTCAGCTCCCTCGGGAACGGCCTCATCAGATACCTGCTATTGCCATCAGAAGGGCCTCCCAGGTGGCGGGAGTGGTAAAGAATCTGCCTACCACTGCAGGAGACGCAAGAGACGAGGGTTCAATCCCTGGGTCGGGAAGAGCCCCTGGAACAGGAAAAGGCAACCTGCTCCAGTAGTCCTGCCTGGAAAATTCCATGGTCAGAGGAGCCTGGCAGGGTACAGTCCACAGGGACACAGCGAGTCGGACCCAGCTGAGTAAGCAGCAGCAGTGCCATAAGAAGGCAATAGAGGCTAGAATTAGGAACTGTTCATGTTTATTTAAATCCCCACCTCTGACCCATTCAAATGTTTTATGTTAGCTCTAAGACATACGATAAGGAAATCATTCTCTCTGGAGTATACAAACACGTAAAATTTCTAGAAAGGGATTCTAAACGTTCAACTCCAAACTGTCTCAATGGTCCCAAATTGCTCAAAGCAAAGTAACTATGAATTCACTTCAACAAATGCATTCTACCTGGCACTTTTAGGTGACCCAGAAAGTCAAGTAACCTGTGTGTTTCAACTCCAGAAAGAATTGGGTTAGGGTGACAGAGCCACTACAGTGGCTGGAAATCTGATAGACTTGTGACTCCGAGTCTGGGAGACCCAGCCCAAGAGAGGGTTTTGCTTGATTTGGGAGGTAACTGCTATCACAGATGGGGCTTCCCAGGTGGCTCACTGGTAAAGAATCTGCCTGCCAACATAGGAGACGCAAGAGATGCAGGTTCGATCCCTGAGTCGGGATGATCCCCCGGAGAAGGAAATGCCGGCCCACTCCAGTATTCTTGCCTGGGAAATCCCATGGACAGAGGAGTATGGTGGGCTACAGACCATGGGGTCACAAAGAGTCAGACACGGTGGAGCGACTGAGCACCATCTCAGGTGCCCAAGAAGGTTGGGTTTATTAACAAAGGAAATGAAAACAGGGTATGCAAGAGGTATCTTCACTCCCATGAAAACCGCAGCAGGATTCACAATGGTCAAGGCACAGAAACAATCTAAGGATCCATCAAGACAGAGGAATGAATCAAGAAAATGTAGTGTATACACCAGTTGCTAACTAAGGGAAGCTGTCTCCAGCTCTACCCAAAGGAACCACATAGACTCCACATCAAGTAGTATCTGGGGTTTAACTATTCTACAGAAAGTAGCCCATCCTTCGCTGCTGCAAATAACCCATTACACCTACTCGTCTTCCACACATCTTCTTCAGATGTAATAGGATGCCAATTCAATCCAGGAACGTATTAAAATTTCTATCAATTGTTTGTTTATATCAGGGGTTAACAGGCTTTTCTATAAAAGGTCAAATGGTAAATATTTTAGGCCTTGGATGCCATATGATCTTTGTTGCAATGATTCAACTTTGACAGTATAGTGCAAAACAGCCATGCACAATTCCTAAATGAAGGGTGTGTGTGTGTGTGTGTGTGTGTGTGTAGGCTGTTTTTTGTAAGATGACAGCACAATTATTCTTTTTTTTTTTTAACAATTACTCTCAATACAAAAATTTTTACTTCAGTTACTGATGACATTGTTCCTTGAGTCCATTTATTTCGGTCCAAAACAATTTCTTCTGTCTTAAATCTTTTCACACGTTCTATGTAACAATTCAGCTTTATTACAATCCTAAGAAAATTCACAGTGGTTTTGCATCTGTATGACCAATGCAGAGCTTCATTCCTTACTTCATTACTAATCACAGACAGCACTGCCAACTGTCTGCTGGCAGTATGCCATAATCTACTGTATTTTGAAAACCAACACATTCTTTAATATACCCGATTTAAATACGTTACACCTGTCAACTTACTCAAGCCCACTGATGTTCAACAAATTACATTATATGCCTTTGTTGCTTCTTTTCTTCTTAGCCTAATTTTGATTTTCTTAAAGTGTGTTCTATGACACCTTGCTTATAAGCTGGTGTAGAATTCCTTCCAAAAAAGGAATTCTACAGAAAAATCAGTTTGGGAAACAATACAGGCTACACGCCCTGAAGATTCAGACTGCACTCAGGATATTAAATGTTTGAGAAACAATGTAGCAAAGAAACCTGTTTAAATCAGTTTAATCCAATGTTTCCCAAAAGTATTTGGCCATAGAAAATTTCTTTTTTCCCCCTGCAACATCTATTGGAACATGTTTTGGAAAATCTAGTCTCATGTTGTAACTTACTATCCTTGTTAGGGGTCATAAAAAGGCTAAAAAGAATATTGCCTTAAGCAAAGAATAAAGAAAAGCCCAAATTATTTTATGAAATCTACTAAACAGTCAAGGTACTAATGACCCCTGATAAAGATAACAGAGTCAGTTAAATAAACTCTCCTTTATTGTAGACTATTCATTTGTATTTAATGTAATGCCTCATCTTTAAACCATTACCAGGGCTGACTAGGATAACAGTCACTTCCTCTGTAAAGCTAAGCAGTCTTATATTTGATTCCAAGTCTATAAAAAGGGAATGTGACATTTCTTTCTTTTGCCTGCTTTAGAAAGGTCTAACATCGATCAATGTAATCAGGCTTCCGGAATGAGAAGGGAGGAGTCCGTATCTTCCAAGGGAGAGGAAACAAGTCAGTTGCTTGGTTTGGGTCTTCAACTTCTCTCTTCTTTCCCTAGATTTATTGAAATATAATTGACATATAACATTGTATAACTTTAAGGTGTGCAATGTGGTGATTTGATGCACATTTCTGTTGTGAAATGATTATCACAATAAGATTAATGTAGCCATCACCTCACATAATTACCATTATGTTGCATGGTGGTAAGAACATTTAAAATCTGTTATCTTAGCAATTTCAAGTATACAATTTAATGTTCATTGAATTTCAGTTCAGTTCCATCGCTCAGTTGTGTCCGACTCTTTGCAACCCCATGGACTGCAGCACACCAGGCTTCCCTGTCCATCACCAACTCCCAGAGCTTACTCAAACTCATGTCTATCGAGTAGGTGATGCCATCCAGCCATCTCATCCTCTGTTCATTATTTATTGTTAATTACAGTTGCCATGCTGCACATTAGGTTCCCAGGATGTTTTTCAGATTTATAACTGGGACTTGTACCCTTTGACCAACATCACACCTTCCCCAATCTGTGTGTCTGTGATGCTCTCAAGGGGACAGAATAGCTGGCAAAGCACCAACATGGTCAAACTACAGACAGAGGGACACTTAGGCAAAACTGTAAATTGAATCAAGAACACATTAAAAGACCTTGTCCATTAATCAGCAAATAAAACATGGCCTTAAAAAAAAAAAAAAAAAAAAAAGACCTATACCAGGCAAATTTCTTGAGTCAAAAAGTAGAATAATGGTTTCCAGGGTCAACAGAGCGGGAGATATAGGAGTTATTCTTTCATGGGTACAGAGCTTCTGTTTGGGATGATGAAAAAGTACAGGAAACGGATGGTAGTGATGGTTTTACAACACTGAATGTACTTAACACCACTGAACTGTACAATTCATGATAGGGTGATTTTTGTTCGCTTATATTTTACCACAATAAAAAATCACCCCAAAATATTATGAAAGTAACAAAAGAAAGAGGGAATACCACTCATTGCATACTGTAACAAGGTCAGTTTTTCTGATTTTTATATTGTTCTGTAGTTACATACACTGTAACCACCTGAAGAAAGTGGGTGAAAGGAATTTGGGACCACTCTGTACTATCTTTGAAACTTCCCATGACTCTGTAATTATTTCAAAACGAAAAGTTAAAACAAGACTATCGAAAGAATATGCCACCGTGACCTGGAAGTGTTTGACTAGAAACACAAAAAGGAGTGATATTTGGACGTCTGTTAATATTTCACACCTATGGCTGAAATAGTAGAGAAATCACGTGATCTTTGCGGCTGCTGATAAAATGCCCTCATTAATTCCAATGGACTTGCCTGTAATAGAGTTTTTTATTCACATCACCAAAAAGATCCATCTAGACAACAATGAGGCTCAACCATAAAGAATCCGCCTGAAATGCAGGAGATGCAGGAGACCCGATTTCCATCCCTGGTTAGGGAAGATTCCCCTGGAGAAGGAAATGGCAATCCGCTCCAGTATTCTTGCTGGGAAAATCACATGGACAGAGGAGCCTGGTGGGGTGAGGTTCCTGGGGTCACAGAGAGTCAGACAGGACTGAACCACAGAGCACACACGCACTCAGACAACAGTGAGGCTTCACACTCAAATACTGTGTTTTTCAATAAAATCAACAATAGTGTCAGCATCATCATTACTTTGTGTCATTCTGGAGGTTTCGATCATTTCACGGTCCATGGTTATAACCCTGAAAATATGGATACAGAGTGAGAGGCTGCTCTTGACTGGGCCATCATCTGTTGAGGTTTGGAAACGTCTTAACTTCTTGGCCTTCTTTTCTCTGATGTAACACTAGAGGATTAATTGGACTCAATCGTTACTTTTAGTATTACTTTTCTGTTTCTTAGTATTGGACACTTGCCTTCACAAATTTTTTTTCTTTGGAAGACCAAAATATACTATGAGTTGCTCTGAGGTCAACAGGGACAGGACTTGCAATCCGGTCCACTGTGACCCTTCCCTCCACCTCTGTCTCCCACTCGTCACCTCCGCGTGAAACGAACCCCGAAGACAGTCAGGAAGCCAGGCAGAGGCCCCTCTCAGGGCTAACGTGCTAGGGCTTTCTGAAACACCAGGTGAGCTGATTTATGGAACATGGAATAGAGCGCAATGTGAGAAAGAAGCAAATGAATGAAGTCTGAGCCCTGGAGGAGAACTTGACCCTAGGGCTGGTTCGGTTCTGGCTTCATGACCCCGAGCGCGGGCCCTCGCCTCCCTCAGCATTGGTCCCTCATCTGTGATGTGAGGGTGCTTGCTCAACACTCCGCCTAGCTGCTCGCTGCACCCAGCGCAGGCGAGGCACGGCGGGGAAGAGGGAGGAAGACGCCCAGCGCAGGCGAGGCACAGCGGGGAAGATGGAGGAAGACGCGAGGAGCCACGGGAATGGCAGGCACGCGCGTTCTCCCCCGACGGGCACCGCAGGAGGCCGAAGACGACTCTCCAACAGCCGACACGGCCGCGACGACGCGACTCAGCTCCGCGCTGCCCAAGCGCAAGCCTGTCCAGGCGGCGCTTCCGGCAGTGCATCGCACATGTGCAGGGCTTCAAGGATGGCCGCTGTGAGATGACCGCGTATTCACAAAGCGTGCGGCGACAGCAAGCGGCTGTGGGCCGAGAGCGCCTGACCACCACCACCGTGGGTCTGCATGCTCCTTCAACAGAAATCTGTTACAGCGGGCTTATTACCCACCGGGTCCCTGTGAGCAGTGGAGACTGACATCTGAATGGGGCTCCTTCAGCTCTTGGGGGCACGGGCAAAGCTAAGTCATACACAAGGTCTCAACACAGTAAGCATGTAGATTCCCCAAAAGGAACTTCTCTTTTGGGGAATAGATAGACAGATGCCCCGACAGACGGATGACCGGGCTGATCATGCCAATTAAAACGGAACTTCACCCATGACACCTGGGAATCACTCATGGTAGACGGTCCCCAGGTGATTCTAATGATCAACCAAGATGGCAAACCACTGTCCTAACAGAACCAAAAGATACACTGGGTGTAATTTCACTCAAAATCAGTCTACAAGGCCCCACAGTGATCTTCTCATCATCTCGGTGGATGATCCTTAACACTTGCCCTTAAATGTTTTCAGGCCAAGCTTATCTCTGTCTTATTTCAGGGCACAAAACAATGAGGTTTTAACCAAATACCTGCCCGCACACCTGAGCAGATGCAAAGCTCTCTCCTGAGGACTGTTTCAACCTGATCAGGGCAACTCTACGGCTTCCCAGGTGGCGCTAGTGGTAAAGAACCTGCCTGCCAATGAGGGAGACATAAGAGGTGTGGGTTCGATCCTTGGGTCAGAAAGATCCCCTGGAGGAGAGCATGGTAACGCACTCCAGTATTCTTGCCTGGAGAATCCCATGGACAGAGGAACCTGGTGGGCTACAGTCCATAGGATCTCAGAGTCGGACGGGACTAAGTGACTTACCACAGCACACAGGAAAATGCACGTGATTAGCTGAGAGTTGTATTCTTCTAATTCCTTTCAAAGGGGCCATGCCATGGCAGTGTTTTATGGAAACATTGTTGTGACAGTTAGAAGCAAATCTTCCCCTTTAAGTGATTAGCTTTTATTTTTTTCCCCTCGAAGGATGTTTCATAGACAACATTTGAAGGTAGTATATGTATGTGTGTCTTTGCCTGGTAACTGATGTGTTAATGTAGTCAAGTGCATTTGGCTTCCTGTCAGCCTTTACTGGATCACGAGCTAGGAAGACCCATTTCTATGGTGTGGTGGCTGGTTCTGGCCTGTCTGCAGTCTGTGGGTGCTTAAGGAGGAAGACAGTTCTCAGTGAAGGGCTATAAATCATTCAGGCCTTTTAAGATAATGCACAGTTTGGGGAGCAACCCTCCATCTCTTTTGGCCTTTTTTTATCATTATTTCACTGTTCTGGTCTCATGGAGGCTAAGACTCAGAAAGGAGTGCCAGAGTTCAGGGCAAGTTGCATAACTCCCTAAAAAGAACGGAACCCAGAGGAATCTCAGAGCAGTGGAACTATTCCATATGATACCATAATGGCAGGTACACGTCAGTATATATTTGTCAAGACCCACAGCGTGTACATAGAATGTACACCAAGAGTGAACACTAAATACAACAAACAATGGGACTTTGGTTGGAAATTAATGATACAGATGAGTCAGTGAAGTTCGTTGGTTCTCATAAATGTTGCTCTCCAGAAGGGGATGTTGACATGGCGAGGTTGGGTGGGGGGGGGGGCGGGGGATTATGGGAAGAACTCTCTGTACTTTTTTGCTCAATTTTGCTGTGAACCCAAAATTGCTCCAAAAAAATAGTCTATTTGAAAAATGAGGAGAGTTTGAAACTCTGCTTTAAAATGTATGTTTTTAATCCCAGAAACTGGAAAGTAGCAAAACAAAATCCTGAGTCATGATCTAGTCTTTACAAAATGCTCTCTTTTATCTGCTGTTTTACTGATTCTCTGCCCTCCATTCTTTGCTCTCTTCACACTTTGCCCTCTGTCTCCTCCCTACTGACAGCTTACAGATATCCTTATCTAACCCAGACTTATCTCCTAAGCTCCAGGCTCTTCTATCCAAAGGTCTCCAAGAAATCACTATTTCAATGTCCTTGAGGCACTTCAACATCAACTTGTCCCAAATGAGAAGCCCTGCTTCCCCTCCCCAACTTCTCTTTCTATATTCCAACCTTTCTGTAAAAGAAGTATGACCTTCGTGAGCTCTAGCTGTCCCTCTAAAGCCTCATGCTAAAATAACAAGCTCCCACTTCTGATCAAACGTGGTGGGCTGAATACTTGTGGGCATCTGTGTTCCTATTAAAATCCAAACAGAACTGCATTTTGATAGATGGACTTAAAGAGAAGCATAACCTCACAAAAGCAAAGAGACTGTGAAGAGAAGACGACACAATCTCAGAAGGCGGGAAAGCCCAGGGAACTGTGCTGGAACTAAATAGGAACTGACTTGGGAAACCAAACACCATTAGGACCTCCTTTGGCAGAGGGGAAAACCTAGAAACAAGCTGATTAATGTAGATGAACCTGGAAAAGGTCAGGAAGAGGAGACGCCAGGCACCTCAAAGAAGCAGTCAAATAAAACTGCAGACACAAACTGAGGCCTCACAAACACAGCCTTCTGGCTCATGTTTACTTTCTCGAAGAGCATCTGGAGGATGTATTCTACCAAAATAAAAGAGTAAGCCAAGACCCAAGATTACATGGGCTTTGGCATAAGAGGGAGGCAAAGGGCGTCCTGGCTTGTAAAAGATGGACCACCCCAGGACCACAGCTATACTCATAACATTTCAGTTCTTTTAATCCTTAACATGTAGGTTTAGAAAAGTTAAATAACTTGTTCAAGATCACACAGCTAGTCTAGTGAGTTTTTGAGTTGGGAATCAAACCCAGGTATAAATGCTGCAAAGACAAGATGGAGCATTTCTGTAATTATAGAATTCTAAGCCAATGAATGACTAATTCGGAGAACAGTTTCAAAACATAAGCATACAATAAGAAGTGAGATAATCACCCAAAACATTAATTAACCCAGTGTCTGGCAAAGCCTAAATATTTTGTAACTAGTACTTCTAACTAAAAATGTAATCTATTACATTATCATTATTGCCTCTATCAAATGTTTCAGGAAGGATTAGCATTTTAACTAGACCTGGAAAAACAAGAGGGATTTTTGGCAGTTGGAGAAAAAGAGAACATTCCAAGTTGAAGAGACAATATTAACAGAAGAGAAGACGATGAGGATGCACCGTTTCTGGCATTTGTTGAGGAATCCCATCACTACCTAGTTGCATTTCAACACTTATCAAGTCTGCCTTGCACATCTGGGATTTGAAGGAAATCTGTTCATTCTCCGTTTCTCTGCAATGTGTAAGCCCTATTCCCAAAGCAAATTAGATCATCAGAAAGCAACAATCCTCAACTCGATTATCTTCACTTCTCACACATTAACTCTCAGAGAATTAAAATGTTATGTCCTTGAACGTTGCAGGAGTCCAGGATTGATTTGAAGACTGTTTTATCTTTTGTAAAACCACACACACTGTAGAGCCTGTGGACCACGTCACCCGTCCCTAAAGAGTCTGGAAAAGGCTTCTTTCCTAGGTGAGCATGTAACTGGTTGTTATCAAGCAACAGTACCTGCATAACCCATACCAGGAGCTGATGCAGTGTTCAACAGCAGTAATTTAATTCTCACCAAATACTTCAGCACAGCTCTCCTTTTCCTATTTAAAAAAGAAAAGTCTTCTCTCATATGTTAGAAATATTGTTTACTATCTTAGGATAGGTGAGTTTTAAAAAAAGTTGAATATATTGTTGTATATTGGTATAGTACAACTGTCAAGAAGGTAAGAAAAAGATGTTACCAGACTGAGAGCATGAGGCATCTGTGGTATCCTGTAAGGAGGTGATTGCTGGGCCTATGATTGGCTCCGGGATATAGTGTACGGCATGGAGAATACAGTCAACATTTTGTAATAACTGTAAATGGAGAGTAACCTTTAAAATTATATTTAAAATAATTTTAATAAAAATTTAAAAAAGTAAAATCTACACTGCAGTTTACTGCAGGTCCAGTGTCCTTGCAACCCACCTCCTGGCCCTTACGTCATTTGTTTTCGATCTTTGCTATAGCAGCAGCCCACTTCTATGTACCAATTTTTGTGTTTCATTGGCCACTCAGATGGCCAACCCTAACTTCAAGTGCGCAGAGAAGTGAAATCTCCACATGTCCCCAGAAAGATTGGTAAATAGCCTGAGTGACTCTCTCCACACCCATTTAATAGAGATATGTGTGTATATCCTTTTCTCCCAACACACATATATTATTATTTATATATAGATGTGAGAGTTGGACTATAAAGAAAGCTGAGTGCCAAAGAATTGATGCTTTTCAACTGTGGTGCTGAAGAAAACTCTTGAGAGTCCCTTGGACTGCAAGGAGATCAAACCAGTTCTAAAGGAAATCAGTCCTGAATATTCATTGGAAGGTCTGATGCTGAAGCTGAAGCTGCAATACTTTGGTCACGTGATGCAAAGAACTCACTGGAAAAGACCCCGATGCTGGAAAAGACTGAAGGCGGGAGGAGAAGAGGACGACAGAGGATGAGATGGTTGGATGGCATCACCAACTAGATGGACAAGAGTTTGAGCAAGTTCTAGGAGCTGGTGATGGGCAGGGAGGCCTGGCGTGCTGCAGTCCACGGGATCACAAAGAGTCGGACACGACTGAGCGACTGAACTGACTGAACGTCTTTAAGGACCTTCTCCTGTGGTAAATTAAGGAGACCAAAATTTAAAACCCAGCTTCAAGCGGGTGTCATTGGCATGGTTAACATACTACAGCTAAAATGAAAAGAAGCATTCATAAATAGATACAGGAATAGGGCAACTGAATGTATGGATATTTTATCTGCCAAATGTCACAGGAGTGTATTTCCTTCTGTGTATGTTTCCCTCCTTTTTTGACCAAGTGACTCTTTTCTAAGCTCCAAAAGACCAGCATTGGCGATTTCAATTGCCTCAAGAATTGAAAGTAGATAGTAGGAAACACAATATAGTCCAAGTTTTCCAATGGTTGTCTAGTTACTCAATAAATATTTGATTGGTTGAGTAATCCTATGGCCTAGACAAATAGTGTGGCCTTGGAAAGGAACAACAATAAGCCAGATGACAAAAAAAAAGTTTCCACTCCAAATCCATTTGACCACAGGCACACAAACTCGGTCACAAGGCTAGAAGTACTTCTCTCAGGTTAAAGCAGGATCTGATAGCTGGGCACAATTTATAAACTTTGGGAAGATTTTTTTGTTTTAGATAAAATGTTTAAACATGCTTTTGGAAAGTTAAGGTCTTTGCTCAGTTTGTTGCCCAAGCTCTTTGATGCACTAATTTCTCTCTTTCTTTGATTTTTCTCAAACCTTCAAAAGAGAAAAGTCCATGTTTCATCTGGTGAGCAGCAAATCGTTTGCTCCTGATGGAGGAAACCCCTGGGTGGGGAAGTGGGATGTTTTCCTTAGCCCGAGGCCTAGTGTTGCATAGAACAAAGCCATGGCCAAAGCATGTGCTCTGGCAGAAGACAAAGGTTTCCTAGTCACGACAGAGCCTTGGGATTTTGACGAAGAGAGGATGGTTCCTGGAAACATCTTCTTTCAGTCTTTCCCGGCTCTCCGTGGTGAAACCTTCTGCTGAGTCAGGGCTCCAGCGGGCAGCGACTCGTCAGGGCAAGGCAGGGGCCTCTCCCTGCCGAGCTGAAGTGGTTTTCGCTGTGTCCGTCTCTTGTCAATTAATATTTAGAAAAGAAATGCAGGAATTCCCTGGCAGTCCAGTGGTTAGGGCTCCACGCTCTCACTGTCTAATGCCCTGGGTTTGACTCCTGCTTGGAGGACTAAACTCCCACAAGCTGTGCTGGGTGCAGCCCCCCAAAATGAAAAACAAGTGGGTGGGTTGGTCGGGGGTCCAGAGGCCCCGAGGGCTCTGGTGAGTGGGGAATCAGCAAGCGTTTATCTGAGAAGGCAGGAGTCAAGCCAGAAGAGAGTCAATGGGAGGCAAGGACGGGGTGTGGGGATAGCCCAGGAGTACAGGTGGGGACTCCTGGGAACGGTCGGATAGGCAGAAGCTGAAGCAGACCCAAAAGCCTTGCTCCAAACAAGCTAAGCTGAGCGGGAGCCACCCTGGCAGCAGTTCACGGATGGAGACCCTTGCCAACATTTCTTCCATGAGGCCAAGTACAGCAGTGAGGGACTTACCGGCGACTTACCAGGGCTCCCTGGGAAGCCCGGTTGCCGGGGGTATTTCTCTTATCTGAATGGGGCACGGATAGTTGGGGCCCTGGTGTGAGAATGAAGTTGAGGAAACAGCATCGTGCCATTTGGTCCAAGGTTCCTGAGTCTGACTTGGGAAACAGCAGTCCAGGGAGGTCTTGAAGAGAGAGGGGCCGGCAGCTCCTAAGAGCCATGTTTCTCAACAGGTGGTCCCTGTGTTCCTGGAGGCGCCTGGAATGACTTTGGGTGACGCGGAGGAGGATAGTGACCAGAGAAGCCCGGGCGGCTGGGGAAGGGCCGGAGGGAGGGAAAAAGGGACAGCCGATGGAGCCAGCCCCCATGATGGCTTTCCTGACGCCGTGACGCCTTGTCTGGCGCCGTGACGCCTTTTGTGACGCCGTGACGCCTTTTCTGACGCCGTGACGCCTTTTGTGACGGCAAGGCTTTGAGGAGGCTCCCGTCAGACCTCCAGAACCCACCGCGTCTATCCCTCTGGCCAAGAGTTGAGGACAGCCCGGGGCCACGCCGAGGGCTTTCTAGAACAAAGCAAGGTGGCATGGGCAGGGAAAGATGCCCAGAGTCATCTCCCCAGAGTCAGCGCATCAGGAGCAACCAGCCTTCCTTCTCTGTCGCCCACCCCGCTGCCCGGATTCTTGCAGGGACCCTGGACCCCGGTTCTCTGGGAAGACTAAGAAGGGAAGGTGGCCGTCGGTTTCTCTTCAGCCCCCGCCGAGGTGGTGAGCTCCGTGATCAAAGGGTGACTGTGAGCCACAGGAGAGGCAGAATGTTCTGGGGAAAAGTAGGGGAAGACTAAAAGCATCAATGCTGTAAAAGACAAAGAAATATTCTAGGTTAGACAAGTAAATTCAGTGTCTGGCCTCAGGCCCGACCCTATAGTTGACATAGGGGTGTGGGTGGGAAGACAGAAATGCTATATGGGAAATTATTAGGTCAACAGACAAAACTGCACTAGGGACAGTAGATGAGATAAAAGTATTGCTTCTGGGGAAGTTTTATGAAATTAATCACTGAGCTGTGGCCTCATGAGAGACTCTTCCTGCCCTTAGGAAAGACAGAGAAAGCACAGATAACACAGGCCATTAGAGAAAGTGTTAACCACGGGTGAGTCAGGGCAGAGTGGACTGTGTTAGTCGTCAGCAGTAGGAAGATGATAATTTATCACTCAAACCAGAACACTTTTGAGAGTGAAAGGGAACCCAGTTCATAATCACTAAGCCAGGTCAACAGGTTTTGTCCCGGACAATGCTGGACAAACCAGAGCCGGCATCATTGGTGACCTGTTGTGTGCAAAGGCCTGATTGATGGGGCTCAGGGGGAAATGGAATGAGAGAAAGTGAAAACAGGGCACACGTCATGAGGGGGTTTTATTGAAGAAAAAAAAAAAAGAGTAGTCAGCAGGAACGGAAAGTGGGGCCATAGTCATCACACCTTAGATAAAACAAAACATCTTTTTAAATCTTCCCATCTCTATATATCAACATGGACAGATAACAAAAATATACTGTTACTCAAAAACACAAAGGAATATAGTATATAGTAAAAGTGGTATTTTAAATCACTGGGGGAAAAGTACATTATTGAATGAATGAGGTTGGGACAATTAAGCAGCTGGGAAAAATGAAGGTGAGAACACTTCATTCACAAATAGTGAATCATTACCACCACTTGGTGACAGAGTACACTAGTTTCATGTTTATATTTATACCTTTTGTTATGCTCCTCCCAGGATCTCTGGGGTTAATCAAGAACTTTTAGCTCAAAGACTGTCATCACTGGCCCACTAGATGTCACCCTCACCTAAATTAATAGTGCTCTAAATACAGGCTTCACCTACAAAATTGACAATGAAGAGACCCCAGTATCCTTTCCAAGAGCAAATTAGGAATCAGTGTTGTATACACATGTATTGATATATCCTAGGGGTAGGAGACAGGGAGAGGCAGGCTTTCAGAAGTCTGGCAGGAAGGGAGGCTCCAAACAATGAAAGGAGGCTGTGGATTGGAGTCTGAGATTACCACTCAGTTTGTGGCTAAATGTACCTGAATGAAGTGAGGTAGCAAGACAGGCAAAGATCCAGGGGAAGATGGTACCAAGAGGTGGTATCAGCAAGTGCAAATGGCTGGAGGCAAAGAGAGTGCCAGGGCCAGTACTGAGGATGTGGGGTGTGGAGGGTTGGTGAAGTATATAAATTCCATTCTAGATTAGAATCCACAGTAATCCAAATCTATGCCCCAACCAGTAATGCTGAAGAAGCCAAAGTTGAACGAGTCTATGAAGACCTATAAGACTTTCTAGAACTAACATTCAAAGAAGATGTCCTTTTCATTATAGGGGACTGGAATGCAAAAGTAGAAGTCAAGAGATACCTGGAGTAACAGGCAAATTTCGCCTTGGAGTACAGAATGAAGCAGGGCAAAGGCTAACAGAGTTTTGCCAAGAGAACCCACTGGTCACAGCAAACACCCTCTTCGAACAACACAAGAGAAGACTCTACACATGGCCATCACCAGATGGTCAATACCGAAATCAGATTGATTATATTCTTTGCAGCCAAAGATGGAGAAGCTCTATACAGTCAGCAAAAACAAGACCGGGAGCTGACTGTGGCTCAGACCATGAACTCCTTATTGCCAAATTCAGACTTAAGTTGAAGAAAATAGGGAAACCACTAGACCATTCAGGTATGACCTAAATCAAATCCCTTATGATTATACAGTGGAAGTAACAAACAGATTCAAGGGATTAGATCTGATAGACAGAGTGCCTGAAGAATCATGGACAAAAGTTTGTGACATTGTACAGGAGGCAGGGATCAAGACCATCCCCAAGAAAGTGAAATGCAAAAAAGGCAAAATGATTGTCTGAAGAGGCCTTACAAATAGCCAAGAAAAGAAGAGAAGCTAAAGGCAAAGGAGAAAAAGAAAGATAAACGCATTTGAAAGCAGAGTTCCAAAAAATAGCAAGGAGAGATAAGAGAGCCTTCCTCAGTGATCAGTGCAAGGAAATAGAGGAAAATAATAGAATGGGAAAGACTAGAGATCTCTTCAAGAACATTAGAGATACCAAGGGAACATTTCATGCAAAGATGGGCACAATTAAGAACAGAAATGGTATTGAGCTAACAGAAGCAGAAGATATTAAGAAGAGGTGGCAACAATATACAGAAGAGCCATACAGAAAAGATCTTCATGACCCAGATCATCACAATGGTATGATCACTCACCTAGAGCCAGACATCCTGGAATGCGAAGTCAAGTGGGCCTTAGGAAGCATCATTACGAACAAAGCTAGTGGAGGTAATGGAATTCAAGTTGAGCTATTTCAGATCCTACAAGATGATTCTGTGAAAGTACTTCTTCATTCAATAAGCCAGCAAATTTGGAAAACTCAGCAGTGGCCTCGGGACTGGAAAAGGTCAGTTTTCATTCCAATCCCAAAGAAAGGCAATGCCAAAGAATGTTCAAACTACCACACAATTGCACTCATCTCACACACTAGCAAAGTAATACTCAAAATTCTCCAAGTCAGGCTTCAACAGTACGTGAACCATGGACTTCCAGATGTTCAAGCTGATTTAGAAAAGGCAGAGGAACCAGAGATCAAATTGTCAACATCCGTTGGATCATTGAAAAAGCAAGAGAGTTCCAGAAAAACATCTACTTTTGCTTTATTGATTACACCAAAGCCTTTGACTGTGTGGATCACAACAAACTGTGCAAAATTCTTCAGGAGATGGGAATACCAGACCACCTGACATGCCTCTTGAGAAGTCTATATGCAGATCAAGAAGCAACAGTTAGAAGTGGACATGGAACAACAGACTGGTTCCAGATTGGGAAAGAAGTATGTCAAGGCTGTATATTGTCACTGTGCTTATTTAACTTATATGCAGAGTACATCATGTGAAATGCTGCGCTGGATGAAGCACAAGCTGGAATCAAGATAGCTGGGAAAAATATCAATAACCTCAGATATGCAGATGACACCACCCTTATGGCAGAAAGCAGAGAAGAACTAAAGAGCCTCTTGATGAAAGTGAAACAGGAGAGTGAAAAGGTTGGCTTAAAACTAAACATTCAGGAAACAAAGATCATGGCATCTGTTCTCATCACTTTATGGCAAGTAGATGGGGAAACAATGGAAACAGTGACAGACTATTTTTGGGGCTCCAAAATCACTGCAGATGGTGACTGCAGCCATGAGGTTAAAAGATGCTTGCTCCTTGGAAGAAAAGCTATGGCCAACCTAGACAGCATATTAAAAAGCAGAGACATTACTTTGCCAACAAGGTCCATCTAGTCAAAGTCATGGTTTTTCCAGTATCATGTATGGATGTGAGAGTTGGACTATAAAGAAAACTTGAGTGCTGAAGAATTGATGCTTTTGAACTATGGTGTTGGAGAAGACTCTTGAGAGACACTTGGACTGCAAGGAGATCCAACCAGTCCATCCTAAATGAAATCAATCCTGAATATTCATTGGGAGGACTGATGCTGAAGCTGAAGCTCCAATACTTTGGCCACCTGATGTGAAGAACTGACTTGTTTGAAAAGACCCCAATGCTGGGCAAGATTGAGGGCGGGAGGAGAAGGGGATGACAGAGGATGAGGTGGTCGGATGGCATCACTGACTCGATGGACATGAGTTTGAGCAAGCTCTTGGAGCTGGTGATGGACAGGGAGGCCTGGCGTGCTGCAGTCCATGGACATGAGTCGGATATGTCGGACATGACTGAGTGACTGAGCTGAACTGAGATGAGATTGGAGAAGCCATTGGAAGAGTCTGTGATTTCTGACTTTTCATGGAAGAGCCCTCAGAATCTACCTGAATGTAAGTCTCAGGAAGCACCCAACATAGACCACTGGAGGAAATGTCTATAAAATAAGTGACCTGCATTCTTAAAAATGTCAATGTCCTGAACAACAAAGAGAGATTGGGAAAACGTTCCAGAATAAAAGAGACTAAGTGACAACAAAACACAAGCTGTGATCCTGGCCTGCATGCTCTAAGATGTTATTGGGACAGTGGACAATATTAGAAGATGGCTTAGAAACTGTATAACATCGTGGTATTAATAGTTTCCTGAAGTTGGCTATTCTGTTGTGGCTGTGGTTGGGAATATCTTACTTTTAGAGTAAACACAATGTAGTATTAAAAAGTAAATAAGGAACCAGGCTTAGGGATCATAAATACTGTTAGAGGGTGAAAGAGAGCCCCTCAGGACTCAGGCTGTATGTAAATATGCAGGAATTTGACCCCTGAATCACCCCGAAAAGAGAGTTAGGGGCTCAGCCAGGAGGCTGAAGTTCTAAAACCATGATCCTTAAAACCATCATTTTAATGACACAACATTATTATATTTCTGTTAATTTTTTCACCTCCTGCCCAAAGCAGTTTCTGTGGTTTCTGTTTCTCAAGAGAACCTTCAAAAGAAGCCACAGCTCCATCTTGGGAGGACTTAGCTATTCAGAAGTGTCTCATCTGAGTGGATGACAGCCGCCCTTTGATGATGTGA